GATTTTAGCCACTGGGCTGCTCTGTCCCCGTTATAAACAAGATATTAAAACGCCTAGTCACCGACCCCAGTTCCCATCGATGGTACAGTCTGACAATTCTCGTCTGTCAAAATTAGTATCTGCCCTTGCCTTCCCTCCGCTTCTCCTTGAGCTCTGCCTCCGTCTTCTGTCTCTTCCTGCTCTCCTGGGCAATCATCTCGCTCAGATCATCGTCATACGCCCATTTGGCTCCAATGCCCTCTTCCTTCCTGCCCTCCTCGAACTTGCGCCGCAGGTCGTCTTTGCTGATACCATCGTGGTTGTGCAACGAGTCGACATCAAGAGCAACGTCGATGTCACCAGGCTTCTTGCGCTTGCGCGAATCGTCATCGGCGCCGAGAACAGGCACGCCTGCTCGTTGAGCTGCTTGTGCCTGCTTGAGGTCGTATACCCTGTCACTGCCGAAGAAGCCTTCGGCGCGAACTTGGCGCTCTGGCAGGATGGTGTAGGCGGATCGAGGAGCACTGTACTCTTCTGTGTCGTAACCACGGCGCTCCTTTCGCAAGTCCATCTCACCAGCAATGGAAGTCTCGACGCCTTGCCCATAGTCGGGCTGCACTGTGCTGGCATAACCACCGGGAGTCTCGAGGCCACTAGGTGTCTCCGTTCCACCAGGAATGTCCTCATCTTCCTCCTCTTCCTCTTCATCTGACTCTTCCTCCTCCTCTTCTGATTCTTCTTCTCGTGGTTGCAGCTCACCCCACAGGTTCTTCTCTACAGGCTCACCAGCCCCTGCATGCATTTGTGCCCCTCCTTGTCCACCTTGTGCCGCAAGACCGAAGACATCACCACCAAACAAAGGCCTGTTGAACTCGTCAACTGGAGGTTTGCCCCAACCGCCGGGATGGAAGCCCCACGAGCCTCCAGCAGGTGGTGGAGCGTTAAGTCCAGGAATCTTCAAAGTAGGATAGGACGGAGGAGGCCCAAATCGTTGTTGGTTGATGAGCCACGGTGGTGGTGCGCCAGGCGGCATCCCCAGGGCTTCCTTAGTGCCCTCAGTGAGGTCACCTGGTCGGAAATGTTGGTAATCGACTTCAGACTCCTTGCCTTCATAGTAAACCTCGCCAAATCGCGTCAATTCGGGCTTGGTCTGAAAACGGAAGAAAGCATCGTAAAGTTTTTGGTAATCGATATCGAGCTTGCCCATCTTTGGAGCAACACGTTCCCTCTGTTTCTGCTTCAATGACTGTTCTGCTTGTTTATCGAGGACGGCATCGCGCATCTCGGTAATGCCGGTTTCTGCGATGAACTGCGGTAGTCGGAAAGGTGGCTTCTCAATACCTCGCTTTGAAGACAGATACTCTCGCTTTAACGACCAATGGGTTGGTACTGGAACGACGTTTCGTTGAGCTTTGATCTGGACAAGCAGTCGAGGGTCCGACGAGGATACGTCCTGCCATTCTACCACCTCGGGAATCTTGACCAGAGCCTTGAGCTCTGCGATGGAGATCGTGTTGAGCTGCTTCTTCTTCTTTTTGGATAACTTGGGCTGTCCGTTATTCTCTTCGTCTTCATCGGGAATCTCGTTGTCATCCGCGTAGAACACTGTCCCTTGATTGCCAGCATTGGCTTCCTTGGCAATTTCATCCTCTTCCATCGACGCGCCGAATTTGCTAAAGATGTCCTTGTACATAGCATACGCGGGATCCTCCTCATCTATGTCAACTTCGATCTCATGGCCATCTGTGGTGGCGGCATCTTCGCTTGTGGGCCCCTTTTTCACTTCGAGGTCTGTCGTCATGGACTCGACGGCATCGTTTTCTTCAGGCTTGGTAGTCTCGGTGACTTCTTCGGTCTTTGTAGGGGCAGCCTGCAGCGCGTCAGTACGTGATGTCGCAACAAGGACGAGGAGACCAGGGCATACCTCTGCTTGAACCTTCTTCTGCTCCTTCTTCTTGGCCCTTCGCATCTGGTTCTTGGTCATCTTTGGGGCCGCCATGGTGAATCAGAAGCTGGCGACGTTGGCGTCGCGACCAGGGATTGTCTTTTGCTTGTGGTCGGGTTGAAGACTTGGGTCGTGAGCTGGAAGGTGGCGTAGGACAAGGCGAGCGCGAGGATGGCCTGCTTGGGGTCCCTATTCATGCCCTGAGTTTACAAAGACAATACACACAACGTTTGAAGGAAAGTGAGGTTGAAAGAAAAGCACAGTTGAATGCGCTAGCAGAGAGATTGGTTTAGCAGATGCAAGTGGAGACGACTTTTGCGCGACGCCTTCAAAAGTCTGTCAGTCCAGTCAACCTCAGATTAGCTGCTTAGCTTAGCTTAGCTCACGTAAGATCGATGGCGGCTCAGGGCGGCTAAAGGTGCGCTATCAGCTTATCAGCGGCGGCTGCCGGACTAACCGCGGATAGAGGCTAGCAAGCCACGTAATGTTAGTTACAGACTTATTACAGAAGGTCCCAAGGGAAGACCCCCTGTAACCCCCGTGTGCAATCTATCTGGCATCGATTCGTCGTTCTATTGGAGCCCCTTGGCTTAATTATAGGCTGTACCTTGCTTATCACACTTGCACCATTCCCACTTTGACGTGAACACCATCCATCCAACAGAAGCTACAGTACTTGATTGTAACTTGGCATTCTTTTTTTTTTTTTTCTCTTCAGCTTCACCAGCCTCTTGCCGTATGTTTGCATAGAGTCAGCAAAGTCGCCTTATTCGACAGCTGTGTTTTTTTCTCTTCCGCTTTCGTTCTCAGGCTTGGCTTCGTCATTCTACTTGTATCTCGCGTCTTGGCCTACAACCTCAGGTACTAGACATTACGAGTCGACCTTTTGATAAGCGATGAGCATACGTTTTCGTCGACGATTATAACAATTTTCTCGAATCTTACCCCGTCGTCCGTCGCTCATTATCAAACCGATTCGATTCGATTCGAATTGAATACGCAACCTTTGATATCTGGCCTTTGCGCCGCAATCTAATCTTTCTCTCCCTTCTTATCACTCACCTGTGATGGAAAAGTTCCCCGACTTCATCGATACGCCCCTGAGCGAGTCACCCTCAGAGAACCCTTCGAACCCTCCCGGCTGGGCAAACGGCGCACCTCCTCGTCCCTCAGACCGATGGCTACCCGTCTCGAGATCAGATAATGGCTGGTCAACGGCTCCTCGAGGGCACAATCGACAAAAGAGCCTCACTGATGCCATTCGTACAATAAGAGGTCGCAATGGCAGTGTTAGCCAGAACGCCCACGAGATCGCCGATGCCCTGCGTGCCCCCGTCTCTCCGAAGCTTATTGTACGCCCTTCTTGCCGAGTCCCAAACCAAATGTAGAGTTACTAGTCCAAGTGCTGACCTGGTGTTGCGGTATACAGATTCTGTGCCTGTTGTGGTACACTTCGTCTGCCCTTACAAACACCTCCTCCAAGTCCATCTTGATAGCTTTTGATAAGCCCGCTACCTTGACGCTGGTCCAATTCGCTTTCGTCTCCTCGTTATGTATCTTCATGGCATGGCTTGCGACTATCTTCCCTGTCTTGCGAACCAAAATTACAGCTCTCAAGTACCCGATTCGAAAGCCAACTCGCGACGTTCTCAGAACAACTCTCCCTTTAGCCGCATTCCAGATCGGTGGCCACCTTCTCAGTTCGACAGCTACCTCAAAGATCCCTGTGTCACTTGTCCATACCATCAAGGGTCTTTCACCCCTCTTTACCGTTCTCGCTTATAGAATCGTGTACGACATCCGGTACCCCAAGACGACATACCTGTCTCTGATTCCTCTCACACTCGGTGTAATGTTGGCTTGCTCAGGTAAAACGACCTATGGTGGAGAGCTCATTGGTGTCATCCATGCTCTTTTGGCTACCGTCATCTTCGTTACCCAAAACATCTTCTCTAAGAAGCTCTTCAACGAGGCTGCTAAAGCTGAGGCTGAGTCGACCCATTCACTACCAAAGAAGTTGGATAAGCTCAACCTGCTTTGCTACTCGTCTGGCATGGCTTTTCTTCTCACATTACCCATCTGGCTTTGGTCTGAAGGATTCACTCTTCTCATGAACTTCTACCATGAGGGCTCAATAGATTTGAATGAACAACCCAACTCGATGGACCATGGGAGACTCACGCTCGAGTTTGTCTTTAATGGTGTCTTCCATTTTGGCCAGAACATTCTCGCCTTCATCCTGCTCTCCATCGTTTCCCCTGTTACCTACTCAGTAGCCAGTCTCATCAAGCGTGTATTCGTCATTGTCTTGGCTCTGGTATGGTTCAGGAGTCCCACAACACCTCTTCAAGGTGTGGGCATTGCTCTCACCTTTTTGGGTCTGTACTTGTATGACCGAACAAAGTCTGGCAACAAGGCCGATCAAAAGGCTCAGTCGATGCAAATTAAGCGATCGTCGATTCTCCCCATCACAAACAATGGATTGCGCCCAACACCTATCACGGAGTCCCCTCAAAGTACTGAGCTCAACGCCCGTCCTTATCCTTATCATGAAGGCTACTTTGGTCGGCCGTCTGCGGCAGAAGATCCAAAGAAGTCAGACGATGGTGTACCTCGTAGCCGTACTCCTGGCACTGGTAATGGAGGTTGGCTCCCTCCAGGAACCAAGCAGGAAGACACATGGCAGCCGGGCGACCAAGTTGCTGGTGTTGCATGATATTCCTCATGAGCATGTGTTAGATTGCGTATTCCTTCGGTGAACAGGCTTGGTGTTTCGAATTCAAACAAACAAAAAGATATGAGAGCTAGAGTTTCTCGTGTCAAGGTGTTGTTGCTATTTTATGTCCCGATATCTAAATGAAGGGCTTTGGGTTCTTGTATGACATATCATGGGCTGGCGTTTTTTTGTTTTGTGAGACAAGACACAACGACACTTGTGAAGCCCTCCTTTTTTCAGGGGGCGCTGGATGCATTGTATCTTTACGTGGATATGGAATGATAATGCTGGACTATTTTGGATAGATGAGCTTGCGATCATGACTTGAGCGCGACGTATTAACGATATGGTGTAAAGTCTTGCTTGATATATGCTTTAATTGAGATGTCCTGCCGGTCTACTATGCTTTGGGTATTAATCTATCAACCATTCTTCAACCTCGACGCCTATGCTTCTCCCTATTCCTCGTATCACCTCCCATGCAACATTAATCCTCCACTTGCCTCCCCGATCCATGACATCTCCTGCACCTCCTACTCGTGTCAAAAGTCTCAAGCTCGCAAGCGTCGATACAGCCATAGCTACATCCGCATCGAGGCCAGCAGCGCCTACAGCAGTGCCATCTGCCCATTCATTTCGTATGGCGGCGAAGATAGCCATCATTCGCTCGAGGACAAAGGCGTGTGCGCCAAGGAGTTTGCGGGCGATCTTGCGATGCTTCGTCCGTGTGGCTCCGCGAGCAACAATACCTCCTCGACGGCGCTTGCGACCATGATGATATGTCGAGAAGAGTGTGAGATCATGGCGGGTTGCATTGTGGGAGGCGAGATAAGCTGATAGGAGCAGGAGGCGAGCTGTCGTAGGGAGAAGGTTTGTGAGATCGGTTGCTGAGACTGTAGGTTTCGTCGCGACGGTTTCGGCAGGTTTGTCATTTGGTCGAACAGAGACAATGCTTGGGTTGAGCAAAGACTCATCTTGGAAATGCACTCTTCCTGCGATGAGCAGCTTCGAGAACTCTTTTGGTAGATGTGTTCCTGCTAGAATGGGCGCTGTGAATCGCGGCCAAAGCGCACGGCAGCTGTGCTTGAATGATGGCAATGTGCGAGACGCTGATTTTGTGAGGGAGTCGTAAACGGCGGCGCAGAATCGGGTCCAGAGATCGTTGGTTTCTTGCTGCGTGCATGTAGCAAGCGACTTGGGCGGCGTGAGCGAAAGGATGCGAACAAATTCTTTCTTTTCGTAGGGAGGGAAGAGGAGATGTGCTGACGAAGGTGACCGTAGGAAGCCAGCGGGCGGAGATGTAACTATGAAAACGCAGGTGAGGCATGGGATCTGGACATTTGTTAGCTTTGTATATGTGTATACCAGTTGCTGGGCGCTCACAATTTCTGATAGCCTCGCCAGAGCCGGTAACAATGTGGCCGGAGCATCCCTCTGTCGATCAATAGCATCCAACACCAATATAAATCGCCATCTCGCATCCCTCTTTGGATACTGAATCATCTTGACCATCTCAACCGTTAATTGCGCCAACGTTTCGCACCGTCGAGGCACCTCCTCCCACTGCAGTGCCTCGGCAACCTGGCCAACTATGCGTTCGAAGAGATGTCGCCCTGTGATGCATTGCACGGAGTTGACAATTGCAGCTTGTAGACCCCCCGAGGATTCATCGCTATTGACATTGGTGACGAGATCGGAGACAAGTTGAGAGGTGATGGCGGATTTGCCTGTAGCCGTTGCACCGTGGATGACAAGGTTCCGACAAGGAGCTGCATTGGGCTATAGAGTGTCAGTATATTGACATAGAAAGACGGTTGATAAACATAACATACGTGGAGCAGCGTTGCTAGGGAGCGGATCTGGTGCTCTCGACAAGGAAATGATTCAAACAGAGGAGTTAATATGACCTCATCTGGAAGACCAAATAGTGAGGTCATCGTGGCTCCTTGCATTTGGGCAATTCCACCGTCTCTGGGTACAATTGCTAGTTGAAGTTCATGAATTGTTCAAGATGCGGATAAATGAGCTTATCGGGGAGACGCGTTTGGTGCGTTGCACGGTCCAAGATACGTCACTCGGGAAATAATCGGCCGACCGACCATACACTCACTTCACTTAGACACATTCGCAGTCGTATTACATGATAAGTAGCACGAGTATTGCTTGATAGAGAAGAATAATAGTCATGGCAAAATATATTCCACAAGTTCAAATCGATGGGTATATATATCTCATTTCATAGACTCTATTCATTCCGAGACACCGCATGCAAAATCAGGGCCCTATACAATCCACAATCCGCAAACATTTATAAACCCAACGCCGTTGCTATGCTGATCAGAACAAGACGGGTTCAATCACATCTATTTGTGTTGGTTCCTTATCAAACACCTTATTCCACCAATGATTCCATGTCCTCAGCTCCTCGTGCAGGACAGTCACCAAAACTTCCGCATTCCATACTGGTACAGGCGTTCCCTGGTTAGACTGCGTCTGTGTAAACCCTGGGCCTCTGCCAGGCGCTTGAATGGTGATCCTTGTTCCAGTATGAACCCAGAGTTTCCGTACATCGTTGATAAGATTATCTGTGAAGCTTTTGACACCATCACTAATCTGAGGGGATGTCATGCCCTGTTGGCGAAAGCCGGATAGGAGGGTTTCTGCTCTGACAGAATAGTCTTCAAGGTCGACCATGTCAGAGATATAAGTTTCGGCCCTCGACAACCCGTTCCTTACATGCTTGAGAATTTGCACAGTATCTGTCCAAGGACCGCAAGATATTCCAGAAAGCGACAGACCATAGAGAGGTGACCATAGGCTGTTTGACAATGACAACAACTGTGTAACCAGATGAACTTCCTCGGCCTGGAGGTGCCCATCTTTTTCACTGAGTTGATCAAAGAAGCTGACAATGGCACGTAAAAGAACAACTACGTGCGGTAGTTCGCTTTCTGCCAACTCGCGAGGAACTACATCGCGGGTCAATAGAACTCGCAGTGCTCCTGCATACACCTCAACCATGGGGTATATCGAACTTTCGACTGTCGCAGCCTTGACAATTGCCGGTAGCATCTTGTTCAGGATGAAAGATAGAATACCAGGGTTCTCCATTCCCCGGCACAAAAGCTCAACTTCATCCTGAAGCTTGTTGTCTTTGAGTGCAATCTTGAAGTTATTAGAAAGGAAGAAGAAGACCTGGTGGGTGACCTTGGTGTCCCCTTCGCTCAGTCGAAGCCCATAAGACATCATACCAGCCACTTGTAGTTGCGGGTCCTGGATAGATGGCGAATACTCCTTACTGATTTGATAGAAATACTTGTCGACTGTGCAAATATCAGAGCCGTGAGCTCTAATAAGCGCAATGATATCCCGAACAAAGGCCACATAGCTTGAATGTTCAGAGGCATCGCGAGACATCGTCCGCAAATCTCCTATGATCTGCTGCATCACCAACTTGAGTGTCTTCGAGTGTTCCGACATGATGACCTTTTTGAGTGCTGGTCCAGCATCTCGTAAGGACTTGCGCATCCATGATATAGTGAATTCGAAGAGGTCTCGGTTTGTGTTGTAGTCCGGGTTAATAGCAAGCCCAATGACTGCGTCTGGGACGAATTCTTTCTGTTTTCGCAGCAACTGCTCCGCAAACTGGTTTTCGTACGATAAATATGGCCTTGGCTTGACAATTGACAAAGCCCAGACCTCTGAAAGAGAGAAGCCTGCCTCGTTGAAATCATCAAAATTGTGCTTGAGGAGTGTGGTCAAGAATAAGACAAGATGCCGTCGTTGATCGAGGTTAAGTTTGGCCGGAACCTCCTTGAACAGGCTATACTTCCCCGGTTTAAACATATCGGCAAGTCGCAACAGTCCACCAGTAATGAACCTTACTGCAAGTCGAGCCGTTAAGGTAATGACCTGCTCAGTGCATTGAGATCTCTGCACGGCTTCGGAAGGAGATTCGCCCATTTCTCCCTGTGAAGAGAGAATGCATCTCGCCATTGAAAAGAAGACTTTGGAGAGATCGTGATCAATTACCAAGATGGCATCATCCGCTTGAGCCGAGTTCAAGATTTGGCTCTCGCTCTGTTGACTGTCCTCGTCGTCCTTGAACTCATCGACACGGGAGAAGAAAACTTCCAAGGTGGATAAGGAAGAACGAAGAATAGACCAGTCAAGTTCCAAGGGATATGCACTTGACCGCTGGAAAACCTGTTGTAGTTGCAGTGTATTCAAGGCAAATGTGGCAGCCTCCAAATTGGGGGCATGCCTCATAACATCTAATGATGCTGTCACTGAGACATACAACACGTCCATTGTAGCCTTTTTGTTCATGGCCACCACAGCATTGATCAAGTCTGGGTCGATTGTGCTACTCACGTCTTTAGACATGGCTAAGACTTGTTGTTGCATATCAGACTGTACGGAATCGAATTGTTGCATCATGGATTGGAAAAAGTTGTTCCGCCACTGTGTGAACGGTCTGAACGCTGTTGTGGCTTCTCCAGACGCGATGATAAACTTGGCCAATTGGTTCCAGGCTCTGACATTGATTAAGCACGCCTCTTTGTGGGAGCTCGCGGGGGCGACCAGTCGCTCGATCAAATGGGCGCCTGGGCGAAGTTCTGCTGGCGAAGCCCAGAAAAGGGTGCAGAGCAGATCATGGTGGTTTCGTAACGCAGCCAAATCACGCTCCTGGATCGTCTGCTCCTTTAGGAGTTGCCGATTGTGGTTCGGCATTGTCCGGGCTATCAGGTTTCGGATGTCTTTCAACGAGCCAATGGCACCTAACTTCTTGATACTCAACGCAACGAGCTTGAGGAAGATGTGGAAGCACTTGTCAGCCTTATCAACAGACAGCGAGGGGCTTCCTGCGAGCTCATCCAGAAATTTGGGCGAAGCGTACACCTCTTCATTGCGCAGATGAGCGAGGTCCTGCGAGCCGAAGAAGTCAAAGATGACACCAATCACGGCTACACATTTGCGCCAGCCCCATTGCTGGACAAGGTAGTGACAGCGGCCAACGAGTGCCCGACAGTAGTTATTGAAGCTTGGTGACTGTCGTGGGTTGTTCTTGTAAACCTGGAAAACCTTCTTGAGCAGTTTCTGCGGTAATGCCCAGCCATCAACAACTGCACCATGCCTCCTACCTGCAACAACGATCCCTTTGTCGTTGAACTCAGTAAGTGGGAGAAGAAGAAACATGGTTTTCCACAAGCGCTCATGCTCAGTCGCATCAAGGCTTTCTAAAACCTCAGGGGTGGCTATGACAGCGTACAGAATATCCCAGAATGAGGCGCGAAGAATGTGGGCATGTCCCAGGGTCTTCATGTTAATAAGCCAGGAGTGAATGGCGGGCACGTCATCTCTCAGTCCTCGCTCTCGTGACCGTGAGTTCTTCAGGTCACTGTAGGTTTTTATGAGGTTGTCCATTCCAGCCTTGGAGAGTGAAGTAATGGCAGTTCTGGCCAAGCTCTTCACCAGATCCTCCATTTGAAATTGTTCACTCGTCAAAGAGGGTTCGCTTTGGCAAAGTCTCAGAACAAAGAGTGCGGCAAGAAGCAAATAATCATAGACGCTTGCAATACATAGATACTGGGGCTGTGTGGTGTTATCGTAACGTCCCAGTACCGCTTGTATGCGGCTATTGAATCCTTGGAACACCTCAAGTGCCCTACCGACAAAAGACTTTGCCTGTGTATGGTCTGTGAGGCTCAAAGAATTCAGCATGAATTTCATGATAAAGCCGGCAGCACTCTTTACAAATTTGGGGTCTTGGGCTTCTTTGTCTACCGAGTCGTGTTCGAGCTGGTCTGCGATGGAATCGAGAAGCATACCCAGCTCAGAGGACACTTGCGAGTCCCAAGGGCCCCATCTGAGGGTTTGCTCACCAAAGTTAAACGATACTCGTGGTCGGGTTTCCAGCAGATGTTGACAGCTAGAAGCACTTGATGCAGATTCAAACACACCACTTCCAACGAGAGTTGACTCGTGGAAGTAGATCCGGGAATCCAGAGGAAAGGTCTCAAAATGATGGGTGTACTGTGTACCATACGGCCCCAGACCTTGAAGTTTCTCCCCATTCGCCTCGATAGACTGAACCGGCTCTGAGATTGGGGCAATCTCGACAGGAATAGGGTCGTTCGCACGACTAAACTGCGGTGCCTCGACATCAATGCGTTGAGGTTTGGTCTTCTTCCGAAACCGCGATTTGTTCAGGTTTCGAGATGGTTCCTCAACGACTCGGAGAGGCACTGGATCTTGTTCGGGAGGTGGACTCGCTGGGTAAAACGTGTCAGGTTCATGGTCGAAGGTCATGATGCTTGAAGCAGAAAGATCACCACGTTGCTTCCGGTACAGGCGATCGAGACGTTTCTTGGTTGCGTTGAAAGAGAAGCGACTGGTCTGGTCTGTTTCGTCCATTTCTAGTTGAGCCGGACGCACGACTCCTGAGCCAGAACGGGAGAAAGGTGTGTTGGTACGGGCGTTCTGGCTCATCCGAGTTTCCGCACCAGTACTGTCCGTCTGGTACCTGACTGATCCTGCCTGGCTCACTTGTTTGACCAAGCGTCGAGATGCTCCTGGGGTCATCGGCATCCGCCGTGGCATAGAAGAGCCATTTCCAGATATTTCGCGTAGGGGTTGCTTAGTCTCCCTGTGCTTAGGACCCGGCTTGGATGTCCCTTTCTTGGCTTTTCGAGCAGCAGTGACTGACTGGCGTTGGGGGATCGAACCGACCCTCCAGTTATTTAAGACAGATGTCGCATCAATATGGTCCTCTCTGGTAGCAAGTTTGATGAACTTTCTACCGGGACTACTCCTACCCATATCTTGGCGCCGGGTAGCGGACCTCGCAGCAATTTTGAGGAACCTTGGTGCGTCTGCTTCAACAATGTCGAGAATACTTAATCGGGGTGGTGTATATGACCTGTTGGTGGTGTTCTTGGTTGACCGTTTCTTTCCATTGGACTTGCGTTTCAATGTAGGATGACGGTACTTTTTCTTGACAAGCTCAGGTGCAGGCACAGAAGCGCCCCGAGTCCCAGCAAGCATGCTAGTAATTCTGGGCTGATGGGGTCCCTTGGGTGCTGCTTGTTTTCGTTGAGCATCGGAGCCTTTGTGTCGCTTTGCTGGACCACGAAAAGAGTCCGAAAGCTTCAATTGTCGTTTCCGTCCAGCAAGCATAGGGTCAATAGCGTTATCCTCGACCACAGATCCTTCATCATCAGACAGAATTTCTGCAACGGACATAGGCCCATCTTCAATAGTCAAACGAGTTTGGTTGTGAAATACATCGTCAGTTGTTTCCTGTCGCAGGGCTGAGGCAGGTGTGGGCGAATCATCATCAGAGTCTTCAAAGAACATCTCAATATTTGCGACAGAATTTGACGAGACGATACGCCTCTGTGCTACACCTCGTCTTATTTCTCGTTCGGGCGAAAAAGCAACAGCTCGCTTATGAATGTCTTTCAGGGGCTTCTTGTGACCAGCTTGCTGGTCTAGCCGCAGCCAAGATGCAGGGAGGACTCCTCTTATGCGACGGCCAACCGTGTTGACAATCTCAGAGCCACTCTCAGAGCCTGACTCAGATTCAGATTGAGATGCAACATCTTCGTGGTCTAGTTGCTGGGTGGTGGTAGGGCCAGCGAGTTCATCCTCGGAGTCACTCACATTAAGGATAGCGGGTCGCTGTGTCAACCTGATAAATGGCTCGGTTTGTTTGGCTGGCACTAATTGAGATTCCGAAGGCTCATGTTGCGGCTTCTCGTCATCAGCGTTTCGTCTTGAACTGCGTGCTGCGGCAGGTGAGTCTGTTGTCCCGGGCGCAAGTCTGAAAGCAGATGCAGGTTCAAGAGGATCGCTATCAACAATATCGTATCTCTTACGCTTCCGTGTGGAAGACCGAGACGGGGACGATTTTCGTTTGCCAGACTGTCTCGATGTCGTGGTAGTCGGTTGTCTCAGTAATTCTTGCAAAGCTGGAAGATCATCACCAGCCATGCTCGTGTTTTCCGTATCGCCTGTCGAGCTTGCCTGACTACTGGGCCCAGCACGATCGTTCATTGGCGACGTCTTTGGTGGTGAAGGTGAGAGCAGATCGAGTGTGTCCAAGCCGTCGAAAAAGTTCTCCACACCCTGCAATTGGCTTTCATCAGATATGTCCGGTATATTTGAGCCTTGGCTATCATCTTCAAAGTCCCTATCCTGCGAAGAATCTTGCTCAGCCTGTTGTCGACGTCGCTTTTCTCCTTCCATTGCAAGTCTGATTGGCCGAACGCCATGGCTCTTGAGTGTCTTGGAGTAGCGGGACAGTTCAATAGCATAAGGTCGCTCTTGGATCGGCTTTCTCGGGCGAAATGACCGTTCGTAACGAATAGCAATCTGTTGCGCAGCCTGATCCTCGGCAATAGTACCCAGAATTTGACTGGGTATGGATGTCGCATGGTCATCTCCGAGGACTAGCGATGAGGATGGATGCGCAACATTCCGGCTGTTTTCGAATTCTGGAGCTGGAGGAGGTGATGATCGTTCAATCACTACATTCGGTATTCCATTGCTGGCAATGGCGTTTTGCTGTGCTTCATTCGACGGCGTAGGCTCGGTCGTAACACTCGGTTGTTGAAGGTCAAAGTTGTCGATATCAGGTAAATCTGCATCAGAGTGTATTGATGACAGAGGCGATGATGATGGGATATCATAAAAATCAGAGGGAAAGTCGCTTCTTTCAGGTTGCTTTGGCGTTACTTCCGGTATTCGAGTAGGCGTCTTTGTTGAAAGACCAGGGTGCGCAGGCTCTTGTGAGGAATTGGGAACATCCCAGATGTCGTGATCTTCATCCTTCTCCTCATGGCTGGCTATATCATCTTCCCGATTGTTGGTTTGTTCGCTGGTGGTCTTATTCGTCTGCGTGATCGTTGGTAATGATGGTAGTTCTTGGCTCTCGAATCCATCTTCTTCCTCAGAATCAGGGACTTCTCCCAGTTCCTTCCAGTTGCTCATTGTCCATATGACATTATCTTGTCGCATGCATGATGTCGGGTCGGAGTTCTGAGGTTTTCCTTCAATATGACTTATTAAATCAGTAAAGAGATGGGGTTGGAAATATCATGACTGAGAGTGGTGTTCACGGTTCGGCAGGTACGTAACTCTTTAATTGATTTCATGGCCGGGGCGTGGCGGGGAACGCGGTCGAGGAAACCAGGAGACGCGTCGGGCAAGTGCAAGTGCTTACAGACACGCGAGGTCCCTTTAGAAAGTTTATAGTGGGGCCATTTCCGGAAGCTTCAGCGATGCTGTGTATCCACTCTAAATCGAGTCCCAATTATTTCCATTCGAGGTCGAGTCTGGCTACCCTTAACTTCACGAAGTTGGAGACTTGTTCAGAACTGGAAGTTTGTCACAAACTTATGACTATCGCTGTCTTCTGATTTAATATACTCAAAATGCATGTCTTTGAGAGGGCATTGCCATTGGCTTTGACTGTCTTTTGCGGTGTAGTTGGAGGTTAGTTTCGTCGGAAATGCCTATTCTATCAAAGTCGTCATGCTCAGGAAAATCCAGGATTCTACACCTTTCAGCCGATATTTGCAAATGATGCACAAAAGAAGGTTGACCCTCCACTGAGGTACATATTTCCTTAAGAAAATGTGACCGGATACTAATAACATTCACAGTACCGGGCAAAAGACAGAATCTATAAAGGAGCCTTCACCTGAAGCAAAATAACTGCTGTCCACAGATGCGTTATTAAGTTGTCGCATAAGACCCCGTGTAATTATAAGTCAAATATTCCTGTAGGATACCCGGAGAAAATTAAAGAAGTGAGAATTTATTTGCGTATTACTGTTTGAGTTTGTGCTTCTATTCAATTTTGACCATCCCTCAGACCGCCCGATGATCACTGGCAATCCTATCTTTTTGAAACATGAGGGCAGAAAGTCAATGCTGTTAACCAGGCAATATGATTTCCTAACCATCTTGTCGAGTGCTTTTGAGTAAAATCTCAGAATAAGGGAGCCTCTAAACCCCAAAGCAAATTCTCCCAATCCATTCCATCCAAGTCCATATTCAATCCCATGTCGCTCAACTCTTGGACAGATGCTATGGCATCATTAGGCGTCGTACCATTTGACATCATGGCAGTTGACGAGCTGGGTGTAGGTGGAAGATTTTCACAGCCCACTGGCCTCTGCCTCTCCTTGCTCACTGGCAGTGTCACTTTATGCTTCTTCATAACCTGAGTCAGTAGGTCTTGTATGCGAGCCGTAGGTCTAGAGAGTTCTTTGGCCGCCTCCAATATGTTCCATGCTTCCAACAAGTCTTGCCGTCTTTGATCTTTCTCGTCGGCATCGGCGCCTAGACAGAAGTCCAAAAGAAGAACAATACTGGCGATGAATACGCTATGCAAGACCAAACATAACCTGAGCCTTGTCGAGTTAAAAGTTGTAGCTTCCTTCTCGAGCTGGTGTTCCGTTTGTATGACCATGCGTGCTGAATCAAGACAAACACGCCGGGAGCGAGCATACACGGGCTCGACTGCGCCGCGGGCTAGATATGGGAGATGAAGCTTGCATCTTTGTCCGTGGACAAAGACATTCATGATATGACGCTGAATGATGAGTCCTGGTTTTTTATGTGTGTCTGTAGCAGGGAGCTGCTGCAGCTCTTCCGTACTAAACTTGAGGAATGGAGGCAGATCTTCAATAAATCGTTCGATGGCCGCATCGACTTCCAAAACAAGGTCGTATGAGTGGACATCTGGGTTTGAGGAATTTGTGAGAGGCACTCGGTCAGTAAAGTTGCGGAAGACCTCAGCGAGCCGTACCCTCTGTAAGAAATAAGACATGTTGGTCGAACAATTCATTGGCTTCCCCACCAACTCTTGTCCTTCTACAAGATCTTCATCGTCGGCATTCAGAGGTTTTCTGACATTCATTTGCCTTGGGTTGATCAGGTAGGTGCCTTCATGCGGGCCTGGAAATCGAGATATCATACTGGAAACCATTAGATCAAACGTTATTGACTGTTGAATAGGGAGGCCTTACGCATCTGTACCGATGAGGTACCACCAAACTCGCCGAGCAGTCTCCATTTTGAGGGGACTGTATTGGGGTATTTGCACCGAAGGCGGATTGTGAGGGTGATCCAGACGATGCAGTCCGAGCTCACGGCATATGGTGATGGAATTGAAGAAACAGTTTCGAGCTCGCGAGGAAACTCCTTCCAAATTCAATAGGACGAAACTCACGATTATGAGCCCCTGAGCCGACTCGAGACCTATCTCGGACCTCCGCTGAGATGCATCGAATACATCGAAGGTTGATTTGAGCCATCCGAATGATTGGTTGTTTGCCTCTGTAAAATCAGAGAAGAGAGGCGTTATGTTGTTGTCCACTGCTGTCCATGCGTATGTGACGTTAGTGCAGACTGCAAGCATCAGGAAAACTGAGCATAGCGAAACTTGTGTCCCCTTTTCAACGGCATCGTAGACCTCATCGACGAGTTTAAATAGGCTTGGGGTGTGTACGACATGATGCATCAAAGTGATGACCGAGGTGTACTTGTGAACCAGAACCTTGGTTTCATGTCGTTGGGGCAGCCAGATGCACCTTGTTGGTTCTAGAGAGAGGAAACCCGAGGGGACACTCGAGTTTTGAAAGATGTAACATGAAGGTTGTGCGATTGAGCGTACAGGGCATATGCGAAAAACAATGTTGTCAACCAATACGGATTCCTAGATAACTCATGTGAGTCGACTTGTTGAGTGGTGCCAAGACTTTTAACTTACCGATGGCTTTGGGCCAAGGCACGAACTCTCGAGCCAAAGAGCATCAGCCGTCAAGTTCTGGACATTGACTGGCAAAGGCTGTAGAGGCTCCAGTTGTGTTCGGGAAGCGACGTCACTCCCTTCTACACTCGAAGGGGCTGATGATGTTGTTCGAGAGTTAGAGTCAGTCTCTTTGTTTCGTTCTGCGAGAAGTGCCTCCAGCCTCTCCAATCGCGTGAGAATGTCCGCCTCCCTTCCCGCAGACGAGGGTCCTCTGCCTCCGCCTCCGCTTACACCTCCGCCTGCACGTTTAGAAATCGGCCGTGAAGACGGGGCCGTTGCCCGGGGTGGGTCTTGAGCCTGGCATTGAACTCCGCGGCTTGTGCAATTGGAACACGGAAATTCTCTACTGCAGCGTAACTTGCGAACACGGCAGAAGTTGCATGACACAGGGCGCTGACGAGGCTGATGGCCCATCGCTTCAGTTACACTGTTACAGTGGTTTTTTTTTCTTGGCTTTGTTGTGAGGAATGAATAGGCAGTGATTAAGAACGGGCAAAAATGTCATCTCCCCATGGAAACTCCGCGGAATATCCATGGCCCCGACTCCGACACGGGACAACTTATATCATTACTTCCTTACATTTAGCTTTGCTTACGCCTCCTATTTGTTCGATTTGACTGAAACTATTGGTTCAGTATGATAAATCCTTCTGGATAAATGACGAGGGTTATGACTATTACCAATCCATACCATTGTCGAGATTGGCTTGAATCATCTACACCCACTTTCCAATGACTCCTAGTCTCCAGATTGGTAGATCGGCCTCGATGTTAAGACACGGACATAAGCCGTTTGCCGTTGAGGCTCCCAGTTGAATGGTCCCCCTTCGTTTGTAGTATGCATTAGTGTCTCTAGGAAGACTTTAGATCTGCTGGGGATCAAGCATACAATAACAGGCCCCTTCCCAACTATTCCAAACTCCTTTTAGATCTTCAGCCTTACACGAGCATCTTCTTGCTTGATGCTGCCTAGCGAAACTCAACTTATTGAATGAGCAGGACTTACTCATAAGTGCCGAATCACTCACTCGAGTGCATACAAGACTGCTAGCATGAAACACGTCGAAGTTGACGACCAGCTTGTCAGTGCTGCCACTCCAGCACCAATACCCGAAGAGGATTTCAAGAAAAGCGAAAGAGATCTCGAAGAGGGATCAACATCAGTCGAATTCGATGACCCTCCTCCCGATGACCCCAATATTGTTAATTGGGACGGCCCTGACGACCCAGCCAACCCCCAGAACTGGTCAATGAAGAAGAAGACAATCAATGTCATTCTTGTCTCATCTGTTACGTTTGTCACGTAAGAATACCTCCTTTCCTTTTGATAAAGCTCACTCCTCTAACACTTCCAGGCCACTTGCGTCTTCCATCTTTGCACCAAGTATCGATCAAGTCATGAGGGAGTTCCACTCAACAAACGAGCAGCTGGCATCGTTCATCGTCTCAGTATACCTTCTTGGTTACTGCTTTGGCCCCTTAGTCATCGCCCCTTTGTCCGAAATGTACGGCCGACTCCCGCTGTACCACATCTGCAATGTTCTCTTCGTCGCCTTTACTGTGGCCTGCGCCAAGGCCCCTAACCTGGGTGGCCTTATTGCATTCCGGCTCCTTGCTGGCCTTGCTGGATCATGTCCACTTACAATCGGAGCTGGCTCGTTAGCTGATATGATCTCCAAGGAGAAGCGTGGAGCTGCCATGTCTTCGTGGGCTTTAGGTCCACTGTTTGGCCCAGTTATTGGACCGATCGGTAAGCGAATCTTTAAATTGAATGATGCTACGATAAAGCTGACAGCTCCAGCTGGTGGATACCTTTCAGCAGCGAAGGGTTGGCGATGGTCTTTCTGGGTTGTTGCTATCGTTGTAAGTAACCTCTTTTATCTATACTTGGATAATGAACCAAAGGCTGATATTGGTTATTAATAGGCTGGCGCGATCACGATTGTTGCTTTCATCTTCATGAGAGAAACATATGCGTATGCTCTTCTTGAGAAAAAGGCCAAGAAGCTTCGCAAAGAAACAGGAAACACTAAGCTTAGGTCAATCCTTGACAATGGCACTACCACGAAGGAAATCTTCCGTTTGGCTATCACAAGACCAACTAAGATGCTTCTCTTCGCGCCCATCGTGTCGCTTCTATCATTCTATATGGCTCTGGTGTACGGGTATCTCTACCTCCTCTTCACAGCCATGCCCACACTCTTCGAGGGAGAATACCATTTCTCAAGCGGATCAGTTGGTCTGTCTTACATTGGTATCGGAGTTGGCTCCCTGACAGGGCTTTTCATTTCTGGGGCATCAATAGACCGGTTCGCTCAATATCTTACCAACAAGAATGGCGGAGAGGCGAAGCCAGAGTATCGGCTTCCATTCATGGGGGGAGCTTGCTTCATTATTCCGGCTGGCTTATTCATGTTTGGATGGTCTGCTGAGCACAAAGATCATTGGATTGTGCCCATCATTGGTACTGCATTCTTGGGATGTGGTATGATCATCGTATTTGTAAGTAATATACAAGTTGCAACCCAAATTCAGCTTACTGACTTCTTATCAGATGTGTATCTCAGTTTACCTGGTTGATGCATACATTCAGTATGCTGCATCTGCCATCGCTGCAAGCACTGTTCTTCGTTCGCTGGTGGGAGCGTTGTTGCCATTGGCAGGACGAAGTATGTACAAGAGCCTAGGTTATGGATGGGGAACCTCATTGCTGGGCTTCATTGCAGCTGCAGCAATCCCATTGCCGTTTATCTTTTACAAGTACGGCGAAAGGATTCGAAGAAAGAACTTGTTTGACGTCAAGTTCTAGGTGGGTAGACAATATGTGTATTTATATTATGGTTGTAAGCTTTTGGGGGAAGTTATTGATAAACGAGCGAAAGTCGGCATTAGGATCTCAGACGGGCAATTAGCATCATCTCCATTCCGTATAGATAGAGTAGGAAGCAACCTTGCGATCACCAGCTATAGGTGATGGTTAATAAGAACAAGGGTAGCAACTCCATATGTGTTCATCACTGTTCCCAGCCTCGTAATCCGGAGACTCTTGCCAGATTCTGACATATTTATGTCTTGAGAGACTATGGCAGATCTCAAGATCCGAAGCTTGCCGGAATCAGCTGAGTGGACATGGTGTTTACTGTTGATCCTTGTTCTGTAGCTGGTGAACGTCACCGTCTTCATTGCGACTTGGAACTTCGTATGAGTCAGTGAGTGAGTGAATGTAACTCTTGGATTCACAAAATATGCAATGAAACCTTGGACAAATCTGAAACCACTTCGTCTTAATCGTTGTCATACGCATCAATATCAAGTCCAAATGTGACATTTCGTGACATCTGATCCATGCCGTTGGGTTCAGCGTCGTGTAAGCTTTGGCCAATCATGGGCAAGGCGATTTCATCAGTTCGTGCAAAACCGGCAACAAGGAAAAGAATGCATCACGTGATGTAGAAATGCACCAATCCAAGCCCGAGGCAAGAGGGACCCATCGTATGATTGCTCCCGTCTTGCTAATTCTGACATTCCCCGAATACCTTAACTCGCCTTCTTCTCCACGAAACCTCTCTCGAACTCGCACTCGCACTCCACGCTCTCGAGCGCACCAATTGAGCTTCTCTCCCGCCCGTCTCGTCATCGCCGATTACCTCACATATACCGTTCACGATGCTGCGCACATCAGCCTCCAACCTGCTGCGCAAGAGCCTGGTGCGCAGCACTCCCGCCCTGGCCTCCCGAGCTGCCTCGACTCACGCCATCTCTAACCCGACCCTCGCCAACATCGAGAAGCGATGGGAGGGCATGCCTCTCCAGGAGCAGGCCGAGCTCTGGATGGCTCTGCGTGATCGCATGCAGTCCAACTGGACCGAGCTGACCCTCCAGGAGAAGAAAGCTGGTGCGTCACAAACTCTCCTCCACTGCGAAAATACCTCCATCCCCCCCGCGTAGCCGAGATATTGGGTCACAACCACCACAACACATCACAACACACGCTTCAGCCTTATCAACTATTGACGATTCACTTAACAACACCTCAATTGCACAGCTTCAGCCTTGCATTGGACCCTCCACGAGCCTCAATTGCATCATGTAGAACCTAAGCACCCAATTCGTCTTCCTGATTGGTAGATGGGGCTTCGATATAGCTTTACCCGTTACATCAACGGCCCATTCCCTGCATCACTATGTATAACTGCGTCACAACCATAAAACTAACTCAAACTCTCTCAACAGCTTACTGGATTGCCTTCGGTCCTCACGGTCCCCGCGCTGTCGACCCCCCTGGAACCGGTGCCCGCGTCGCCTGGGGCGTCTTCATTGGTCTTGCCGCCAGTGTCGCTCTCTTCGGTGCTGTCCGTGTTGTCGCCAAGCCCGCTCCTTACACCATGACCCAGGAGTACCAGGAGGAGACCAACGAGTTCCTCAAGGTATGTCCCATCTCGTCTACATCGCATATGATCACCTGGCTAACAAGGGCTTTCAGAACCAAAAATCCGATCCCTTCACCGGTATCACCTCTCCTGGTTATGCTGGCAAGGGTATGGTCCAGTCTCCCCCCAAGGGCAACTAAATTCAATACACAACATCGTTTCCTTTGTGCTAGAAGTTGGAGTGACTACGGAGACGTATTGATGTGTAAAAGGGCCTCTGGTGTGCATGGGCATGACTAGGGGTTTCGAGGTCGCTCCAGAGATATCAAGTCCTCTTGGTGTAAATACTGTACTACAACAACGGAACCCGAGTCGAGTCATTTGTTTGATTGAATTTGTTTGCTTGCCTATCTCTGTGGGAGCATACCCAAAACTCTGCCTGACCATTCTGTCGACATTAAATCCAGTTAATCAAAATAGTAATTGCTCCAATACGCCTCGTTCCCAATAATGTTGAAGACGATACTTAGCCACCGCTTTGTCCTGCTTCTCGATACTTTTCAAATGTGTTCTCTGGTTTCCCCTTGGGCGGGTTCATCTCTTCTGCCTGCATTCTTCTGTCCACCTCAAACCGGCCATCCTTGCCCCAGTATCCTGCCTTCTCCGTTCCCTTCACGCATGCCTCAGTAATGAGTACGTAAGGCATCGGAGCGTCAAACATGGGTTCTGCTAGGATACGCTCCATTTCCATCTTGAGACCTCGAGCTCCTGTTTCTGAAGCAGCAGCTCGCTCCGCGATAGCATATAACGATTTCTCTGTGAAGAATAGTCGCGAAGGGTAAGTCTCAAAAAGAGCGGTATACTGAGCAACAAGGCTGTTTCTGGGTTCGGTCAGAATACGCAAGAGATCTTCCTTAGAAAGAGGACTAAGAGCACAGATATTGTGCAGACGCCCTATCAACTCAGGAATGAACCCGAAGCTTTGGAGATCAGCAGGAGTGGTAAGATCCAACGGCGTGAACGATGAAGCTGATTGAGGGTTGTGGTGAGGCAAATGCGTATATGTTTCTGCCGGTAGAGTTTGCTTGTTGCCCGACATAGATGAGCGACCCCGGAGCTCTCCGCCGAATCCCATCGTCGGTCTTGCGACTCTCTTCAGGACAGCCTTGTCTAGCCCGACAAAGGCGCCACAGAACACAAAGAGGATGTTAGTAGTGTCAATAGTATACTGGTCAACCTTGCTACCGGGAGGAGCTGCCTGAGGAGTCGAGGAAGATGGCCCGGATGCGCTATAGTTCGTCGTAATAGGTGACGTAGATCGGGATGAGCGGTTGTCCTTGACATTGATGGTGACTTTTGTTCCCTCAACGAGCTTCAGCAGCGCTTGCTGAACACCTTCGCCCCCAACATCCCGACCAGTAGTCGTTTCTCGCCTTGCAATCTTGTCGAATTCATCTAGGACAACAATACCGTGCTCTGTTGCCTTGATGTCATAATTGGCTTCGATAAGGAGTCGCTCAATGCAGGTCTCAACGTCCTGTCCTATGTATCCAGCCTGAGTGAAGGAGTTGCAGTCACAAATTGAAAAGGGTACGTTTATCCTTTTGCTTAGTGTTCTAAGTTCTGTCAGTACAATCGTTCTGGCAGTTGATAGAAGAAGACAGACTCTAGTATGTAAGTTTTGCCAACACCCGTGGGACCGACCAGAAGGAGATTACTCTTGTCTATCTTGACGTGATCGGGAACTGTTATATCCTCTGCAACATAGAGATGATCCATTGGGTCGTCATCGAATTCGTGATTATCGTGAAGCCCACGGACCGACTCATTATGGCCCGGGAACTCATCTTCAAGAGTATCAGCAGCGTAGCGCTCAGGGACGGAACCATGTACACGCTGACCTTCGACAGGGTGCATCTCACGACGTTTCTGATGCAGTTCTCTGTCTCTCGCAAACCTCTGGCGCATCGCCTTATCCCGCCTATTCCGGTCTTCGTGTTCATGTTGGTGTCTTCGTCGTAGATTCTGGTAGTGGTTGAAGATAGTTGCGCATATTGTCTTCTTGGCCCGGTCCTGGCCAACAACATAGTCGTCTACCCTTTTCTTGAGATCGCGTGGGTAGAATTGTGGTACGCCAAAGTTGGTCTTGTTGAACATGGGGCCACGCCCCGCATCGACTGATGGGTCATAACTGCTACTGAAGCCTGAATTGAAGTCGTTGTTTCGTCGTGAAGCTATAGGGGAGCCTGATATATAACGATGTTGTTGTCGTAGTCGAGAGTTGTAGGAGGATACGCAACGTGTCGTAATAAGTACCGGTCGTGGGGCACAGCGCGAGAGATGGCAAAGACAGCAACGAGCGGTAGGGAGGGCCCTTACGAAGGGCGACATTATGATATATATTCAATTTGCATAATATTGAAGGATGATACAAAGCGGAGCGTCAGGCGACAGTCGACCGAGTTGTAGTATATCTGGGCCGACGATGACGGGATGCGGGGATCGGTTACAGCTTAATGCGGTCGTGCGAGAGCAAGGCCGACGATAGAGCCTATCGATTCGATAACATGGAAATGGTTACAGTGAGGTTGATTATAGGACTGCCGTAGGGGCGATGCTTCTATGATTGCAGTTCAGGAATCGAAGATTATGTGATACACGACCTTTGTCTGACCTCCAGCTCCGGGACCCGTCCGCTATCGGGATCGGGTAGTTAGACGCTTGCAGACCTTGAAGCCCAGGCCAACCGTCAAGGCAACTGCGCGCAGGAGCTGATAGCGAGTAGCAACCACTGACAGGCCTAGATTGCGGTCCTGTCCCCGCTAAACAAGCCGGGCCGACATGGGGGATCTGATACTAGCCCCCGGCCTCCCCAAGCACCCCAAGGCACAAACTATTTGCTCCATGAATTTGATGGGACCCGTCCGAACTGCACAATGATTCTCGCGCAACATCATAAGAGAGTCTTTTACAGGAAGTGGCGATATTGCGAGACTCTCGGTTGGGTCCAGTGTCACCCTCTCTCAACCACATGTTGAGCGTTGCAGACACATAAACTGAAAATGCCTTCCATTTAAGGGACAGCGTGCAGATACGTACCGTAGGCGTTGAGAGAAATTCACCATTCGCGACGTCATCCCAACTTATCGATAAAGCTCTGGGTGGGCAACCTGAACTGAAACTGAAAGGTTGGTCACCTTAGGCGAATGAGCTAGATAGGAGGTTGCAAGGTCTCTGATATGATAATTCTACTTCTGTTGCCACAATTTTCTGATTCTTCATCTTATTTTCCAAGCCTCTTTTTATCTAGAAAGTTGCTTTAATATCCTCTGTGCTGCGGTGTCGATTCTTCATCTCCTCAATTGTGTCTCACTTGAAGCTCAACAATTGTTTGAAGCTTGCAACACCAATATCCCGACTACCCCGCCCACCTTGAGACCTACCTACCCTCCTCCCTTCTACAACCCGCGTCGTATTCTCAATTCATCTTTGAAAAAAATGGCCGCAATTGTTGAAAACTCGTCCAATTCCCTGGACCCCAATCACTCAAGCGGTGCTGCGGGTGACATTCCTAACGATGGTACAGGTAAGTCCATGCATGGCCTGACATGTGATGATCTGATAGTCAAGAACGCCACGCTCATGATGCATTCTAGGCGTTGTAAAGCTCGATCCTTGGCTGGAGCCCTTCAGCGAAGCCCTAAGAAGGCGCTTTTCCAAGACTCAAGATTGGATCAAGACCATCAACGACACTGAAGGTGGTCTTGAGAAGTTCAGCAGGGTAAGCTTCCAGCTTCCAATTCATCGAGTCGCGTTATGATACTAATTGTCTATAGGGCGCCGAGAAATTTGGCTTCAATGTCGATGCTAATAACAGCATTGTCTACCGTGAATGGGCGCCTAATGCCACTGCCGCGTTCCTGGTCGGCGACTTTAGTACGTTTCCAAACTCAATCATGTATACATGCGCTTACACTATTTGCTTTAGACAACTGGGACCGCAACGCTCATCCCATGACCAAGAACGATTTTGGCGTCTTCGAAATTACAATTCCTGCTAAAGATGGACAGCCTGCCATACCTCACAATTCTAAAGTCAAGGTATGTCAAAATCCAGACACAATTGCAAGACATCACATCTAATTTGTATACCTAGATCTCGCTTAACTTGCCCAATGGTGAGCATGTTGATCGACTTCCGGCCTGGATCAAATACGTGACACAGGATTTGTCTGTCTCTCCCGCATACGATGCCCACTTCTGGAACCCTCCAGCCTCCGAGACCTACAAGTTCAAGAACTCTCGACCCAAGAAACCCGCAAGCGTTCGTGTGTATGAAGCGCATGTCGGCATCTCCAGCCCTGACCAGCGGGTTGCGACTTACAAGGAGTTTACCAAGAACATGCTGCCGCGAATCAAGAATTTGGGTTACAATGTGATTCAATTGATGGCTGTGATGGAGCATGCGTACTATGCCAGCTTTGGTTATCAAATCAACAACTTCTTCGCAGCTAGCAGTCGATATGGAACTCCCGAGGACCTCAAGGAGCTCATTGACACCGCTCACGGCCTTGGAATTACTATGCTTCTCGATGTTGTCCACAGCCACGCTTCCAAGAACGTGCTCGACGGTATCAACGAGTTCGACGGTACCGATCACCAATACTTCCATGGTGGTGGCAAGGGCCGACACGATCAGTGGGACAGCCGGCTTTTCAACTACGGCCACCATGAGGTGATGCGGTTCTTGCTGAGCAACTTACGTTTTTGGATGGATGAGTACCAATTTGATGGTTTCCGGTTTGATGGAGTAACCAGCATGCTATATGTTCATCATGGCATGGGCACGTAAGTGGCACTATCACCGTCTGCTCAGACTGTCATACTAATTCCAACAGGGGCTTCTCCGGCGGCTATCATGAGTACTTCGGCGCAGATGTTGACGAGGAGGCAGTGGTCTATATGATGCTTGCAAACGAGATGTTGCATGATCTCTACCCAGAAGTTATCACCATTGCTGAGGATGTCTCTGGTATGCCAGCACTTTGCCTGCCACTTTCTCTTGGTGGTGTTGGATTTGACTACCGCCTTGCTATGGCCATTCCTGACATGTGGATCAAGATCCTTAAGGAACTCAAAGATGATGAATGGGATATTGGCAACATCTGTCACACGCTTACCAACCGTCGACACGGCGAAAAGACTATCGCGTACGCTGAGAGCCACGACCAGGCGTAAGTTCATGCTCACTTCACTTGTTTCACGATCAGCTGCTAACATTAGCACAGCCTCGTCGGTGATAAAACACTCATGATGCATCTGTGTGACGCTGAAATGTATACCAACATGTCTACACTGTCACCCCTGACTCCTGTCATTGATCGTGGTATGGCGCTCCACAAGATGATTCGACTGGTGACACACGGCCTTGGAGGAGAGGGGTACCTGAACTTTGAGGGCAACGAGTTTGGTCACCCTGAGTGGCTCGACTTCCCACGCGAGGGCAACAACAACTCATTCTGGTATGCTCGACGACAGCTCAACCTTACGGATGATCCCTTGCTCCGATACAAGTTCCTCGATCACTTTGACCGCTTGATGAACCAGACTGAGGCCAAGTATGGTTGGCTACATGCGCCTCAGGCGTATATCTCACTGAAACATGAAGGTGACAAGGTCATTGTCTTTGAGCGTGCTGGTCTGGTATTTATCTTCAACTTCCACCCAACCAACAGCTTCAGCGACTACCGTATCGGAATCGATGTCGCAGGAACTTACCGTGTCGTTCTCAACACAGATAGCAAGGATGTTGGCGGTCACAACCGTGTCGACGAGAACACACGATTCTTTACTACCCCCATGGAATGGAACAACAGGAAGAACTGGACTCATATCTATATTCCCTGCCGAAGTGCCTTGGTAAGTGAACCCAGTTTTGAAAATAGTTGTTTGCGTTTCCTAACATGATCTTGCAGGTTCTGGCTCTTGAGTCCACAATTTCCCAGCACTCTTGAGTAGGGATGATAAGAGATGGGAAAAGGGGACGTGGTGAAGCTGCGAGAAGAAGTATCTGACTAGAGTGATTCCTTCATTTGGCGGGGACTGTTACAAAGTGCGTCGTTATTGAGACGAGGCCCTGATTGGTGTGTCTCTGGTTTGTTTTGTGTTGCAGATATATTATAAAATATGAAATAATAAAAGTTAACAGTCAAAAATAGTAACTTTAGTGTTCTGACTGATACTTCTTTTTGTCAATCGCGAGGAACGAGGCTAACATGATCAATAGCAACATGGCTCTGTAGCCTTGTCAGTTGTGGTGGGGTTCTGATCATGCTCGGATTTTTCGGCTCGGTTGTTCGGGAATGGATCAAAACAGGGAGAAACAAAGCTTATTGTTTAAAGCACTGGAGCAAATTCAACGGTAAGAGGCATCAGATTGGGAGAATATTGGTTCTTAGTGATGGAAGAAAGACGCATCTGCAATTGATAACCGAGACATCACTGTCTTGAATGGGTATAAGCGTCGTTTGAAGCCCGGTTACCGAAACTAATCTTGATGTCGTCAGGCTGTTGAGATTTGAACCGGGGTCGGTTAATGGGGGAAACGGTCAAGGGGGAAGAAAAAAAGTTGGAAAAGAGCCCGAATAATTGGCAAACCTCAGTACCAAAATTTAGATGGGCCACCTAAAACTTGCGACCAGCAATTGCCGGCTGTCATTGGCTGGAATCAGGACCATCTCGGCGTGACTAATGGATAGACCAATAGGGTTGGACGCTTGAGGGAAGAGGACGGGATGCAAGATGGGGATCCCCTGAACTGTCTAAAAGGCCTTGAATTGACGGCATCTCTTGAGAAGAACGTGGTTGAAGATGGTGAGATGTGAAACCATGATATCTATGGTGATCTAGATGTGAAGTAATCTGGTCTACTCAATACATTGACTTGATTAGACCGCACGCGCAGTCTCCATTAAGGTGTTTGTTTGTATGCAGTACTTCCGTGGTCTTCAGATCATCAGCCAATCCATCTTGAGCTTCCACCACCATCTCATAGAACTCAGCAGCACACAGGTAAACCAAGCCAGGTCAATGCTACTTTCCCCGCTCTGTTTTGCATCTTCCCCCTCAGAATGACATCCAGGGGATTGGTTGCTGCAAGATCATTGATGATGCCTTCGACTTCGACAATTGACGGTCAACTCTATGTGCAAAGTCAAGAATGAGATAACTGAGTCAAGATTCGGCTTCGGATATGCATCGAACTTCAGTCATTGACCCTTACAAGGAAAAATGGATCGGTCCCACGGTTGAGTTGAAGATGAGATGGAACCTAAGCCATTTAATGCCTGCAGGCCTAAGTAATAAGGACTCAGTGACGATTGTAAGGCATCTCTCCGCTGTCGCTGTTGGTTTACACTGGGTTGGCCCCAAAAATGGCCTTCTGGCGAGACAACCGCTATGGTTTTAGGTGGAAGCGCCAGGTCTGCGAATAATTCCGTCGTGTTCATCCCGGGAAATTGCCGGCATCGCAGATTCCCCGGTGGGGCCAGAGGTAATTTTGGGCTAGCGGTCCACGTGACGCTCTGCGAAAGCTCTAACCGACCAAGTCGCCCTCCCGAGCAAAACTGCTCACCTCCCGTAAAAGTTCTCCCTCAGCTTCAACCAACCTCTCTCCACTCCCATCTCTGATCGCTCTTTGTCATCTGGCAAGATGTTCAAGAGGTGAGTAATGATCGCGAGAACGAATGTCGATAATTTTTCGATGACGTTCCCCTCCCAATTGAAGCCCAATTGAGCTGACCCTTG